TCTTCATGATCCAGTCGACCCAGATCTTATAGGTCTATTTTTTTTTACGTGGAGAAGAATACGCAACGTTCCACAGAATGATTACATTAAGTCATCAGGTGGACAAACCCGGCATTCGACTTCTAATTAGCCCTTTTTAAAATAAGATAAATCTGCATTAATACGCAGAAAGTCTTATCGACACTGACCCGTCGTTCGCCCGTCCTTCCCCATCAAAAATTAACCTCATTATTTATCATGGTGTATTTGAATACTTAAGTAGGACTGTGAATGTAATCTCTCGCACCCAAGCAGATGTCCTATGTAATAAGGCAGAGATATACCTACTTGGTTTTAGAAAATATCAATTTCATCCAAATTGTTAAGTACAATTATATTTTCTAATTCCTTAAAGATCGTTTTTATTTCCAAATATTTTTTAGGTATATCAGAACTTGTTCTTCCGTGTGCTTGTTGTGGGAAGAAATTCTCTGCCAAACATGGTCTAGAGCGCCATATGAGACTGATACACGAAAGTGAGTATTTTCACACCGGCTTAAGCATTTGGCATTCTATTATTTGATGAATACTTACTGCCATTTTCAAATATTTTACTTAGGTGCGGAATTGTGCATCTGCCCTTTGTGTAACAGGAGTTTCTCAACCAAGTTTGCTTTTAATCGTCATACAAAAACTGTGCACTCAGGTAATTCAATCCTTATTAACCTCTCAAAGTTTTGTCTGCTTTTCTATGACATCATTAATATTTGTGAAACGTAGCATCTTTTTACATATTTTTATAAACAAGATCCAAGCTTACTTCATTTAGCAACATAAGCGCAATCAATAGTGTATAGGCCTAACCTCAGATCTTATCTTTCTAAATCTATAGATTCAATCAGCCTATGTTCCCCGTGTAATATGCTATTTCCGTCAAAGTTCGCTCTTCTTGAACACAACCTTACGGTCCATAATAGTGAGTTCCCTACTTGTGAAACAGTACTAATTTAACATTTGACTTTTCAGCTTCAAAGGTGTTTGCTTGTCATGAATGTTTGAAATGTTTTCCTGATACAGAGTCACGAAGAAGCCACGAACAAAATGATCATGGTGGTAAGTAAGATATTTGATAAATCTGCATAACTAATTAACTTGATTATTTATAATATTTGTGGCCATGAATAAATAAAATCGACCTCCATGTATTCGGTAAACTAGGTATTAGCAGAACTTTAGTTGTCTTTTCGTTATACAGGAGCGAACATGGCCGCCTGGAAGTGCACTGTAAATTCTGAGAATATGAACTAAAGCACTTAATAGCTTCGATTCAACATGCAAAGCTGTCAACACAAAACGTTACTTGCACCTTTTACCCTCCATGGGGCATAAGACGTACATCCTCCTTATTATGTTTGAATTCCTACTAACAAGACTGTGTCTGAATTAGGGTGTATGCTTATGTAACCCAAGACCTTGAAAAAAATGAACCAGTTAGTACATTAAGATCTATCCTGGCCGTAGCGTAGATTCACCTTACAAGTTAACATAACATGGATTGATCAGTGGATGGCATAACAGACCTTAGAACTCATAATGGAGAACACATTTGAGTACAACACTGGACTACCTCAAATTTTCATCCTATAAGATCCCTGATTCATTTACACAAAAATCCAATACAATATGACGTGTATGAAATGTTGCTACTTAGTTCATGGTCGAATTTTTTATGAACATTAACTAGAATAATCTCATCTTTTTACCCCGTTTTATTTTTGAATTGTCACTCGTCATCTTGTCCCGCAACTTTGATGTTAATACTTCTACCCTACTTGCCTTCTACAGATAGCTATTTTAAACCAATCACAAAATCCCCTACCAAATCTATTTACGAAACCTATTCATAACGCCCAACAAGCAATCATCTACATTAACATATACAAGTAGCAAGTGGCATCGACTGCTATTGTAGCAGTGTTTGTCACTGAAAGGAGTGTCAAGGAACTACATTAACCTTGTGAAGGCTCTCTACTCGAACACAACTGGTTGAGTGAGAGCTTATGGCGAACTGTCATCAGAATTGATTACCTCAAGTGATGTTCGTCAGGGCTGCCCACTCTCTCTATTCTTGTTCAACTTTGTCGTTGACGTGCTTATAGAGGTAACACTTTCCTTATCTGACTCTCCAGGGGTTGAACTTCTACCGAGAGATTCGCCTGTTGACCTAGAATATGCCGATGGCATAGTTCCATTTGATGAAGACGCTGACAAAATGCAGTCTTCTGACCACTCTAAGCAACAATGCAAGCATGTTCGGGATGCGGTTCTCCCCCTCGAAATGCAGAAAGTTGCTTTAGGATTGGGTTGTATCGACACCCGAACAAACAATAGGGAGTGAAGTAGTTGGGCGTGTTGATCACTTCACTTATCTTGGAAGTCTCATCAGCCCTTGTGGTCTGGTGTGTTGCGAAATCTCAGCAAGGATACAGAAAGCTCAACTAGCTTTAGCCAACTTGAGTCATTTATGGCGTAGGCGAGATATCCGTCTACCAACCAAAGGACGTGTTTACTGCGCAGCAGTTCGTTCCGTCCTACTTTATGGCAGTGAAACATGGTCGGTAAGAGTAGAGGATATCCGAAGGTTACTAGTATTTGATAATAGGTGTCTTCGAAACATTGCTCGTATATCCTGGGACCACCGAGTAAGTAATGCAGTTGTTAAGAAACGGGTACTAGGTAAGGATGGCAAATCAATTGATGAAGTAGTGAAACTTCATCAGTTGAGATGGCTGGGACACGTGATACGTATGCCCGACCACCGGCTGCCTCGACGTGCGATGCTCAACGGTATAGAAGTAGATTGGAAGAAAGTTAGGGGTGGTCAGACCAAAACATGGCACAAATCCATGACGTCACTGACAAGTGGACTGAGCCATGTTGGTAGGTGTAGACTACCTGGTTGGGATCCGCGAGATGATAGCGACCGATGGTTAGAAACCTTGAATGACATAGCTCAAAATCGTTTGCAATGACGCAGGTGCATCTACCAAATTCTAATCTTCTGAATTCTCCTTGTCTCTTTTTCTTTTTCCAAATTTATTTCAATGGATTATACTCCTTGGATAAATCTTCAAACCCTAATCTTCCGGATACTGCTTATACTCTTTCCACGTTTTCCACTATGGGATTTGAATCGATAACTGCACCTCTGTGCTAATGTGGTGTGGCAATTGGAAGTGATGTACGTACGTAAGTACGAAGTTCCACGTTGTCACTCTCTGATCATTTGAGTGTAGCTATGCAACGTACGGGTTTGTTGAAATAAGACTGTGAACGTTTTTCATCCTAATAGATGACTTCCTCCTTTTGTCTTACGTTGAAAGAAGTGAAAGTCACAACAAAAACTATAATTAATCAGTATCTTTTATATACGTTAAACACTCGTGTGCCATAACTTCATCAATCGTCCACAATCTATTACTTTTCGCTGCGTTTCACAAATAATGGTTATATGGAGTTAAAAATTTGTTTAAAGTCTTTCAGATTTCATTCTTCATACCTAAACCATGTTTTGTCGTTTATCAGTACTAATCCTAACGATTCGACACATTCGACCTGGTTCCATTTCATCTGAGCTGCAGTCAGTGGGAGCGTAGGCAGAAACGATAAAAAGGCAACGACGTGTGTCCCTATCCTTCCGAGTTCTTACGGAGCCGTTTAGCCGAACAGCACATAAGCGACTGTTGACGGGGATCCACTCTAACAGTGCTTGTTCCGCCCTCATGCTTAGTGCTATGCCTACTCCTGCCAGTCCACGAGAGCTGGCCATCGGGTCACCAGTAACACGGAGGGTGTATCTCGTTGGCTCTCCGTTTTGCCGAGGTGAGGTCAAGTGAATGACCACACTGGAATCCTGTATGCGTGTTTCGGAGACACAGCATACATCAATGGTACGAGATTCTAGGGTTTTAGCCAAGGAAGCCTGCTGACCGATTTGACATAGGGTGCGTACATTGAAGGCTCCAATGTGTAGTGTAGAGCGAGGTTTCAGTAGACCTGGGACAGTGTTTTGGGCACTAGAATCGTTGGCTATGGTGACACATTGAAGAGGGAGGTTGATTATGGATACAGTGGTCTTGAGTACTGTAAGAGCTATGAGGGCGGTTATCACTTCCCGGTTGCCCACACCGTGGAAGGGTTCTTCTGGAGGTACCTGAAAAGGAAATCGGTTTAGAAGTGGTCTTAGTGACCTGGAAGCGTGACCGCAGTGCCCAAGAGACAACTGCTTGAGGTCGGTCACACACGACCTTTTTATGGGCAATTTTTGTGTTAGCTCTGTACTTGTTGAGACCTTACCGCCGGAGACGGATATCCGCGGGATAAGGCGAGGTGTGCATTTTTAGGGTTGACCTTTTCTAACCTCACCCCTCTTTGTGGGAAGGCAGCATCGCTCTCATGCTGGTTGTCTGAAGGAAACACCTTACTGCTGTCACACCTCTGTACAGTCAGCAGTACGATTTCGCCTTCGGACCTTGGGTTTGTTGCTTTTAGTCTTACCGCTCTTCAACCGACCTGTCTGACACGGTAGGACCTTGAGGAACGGTTGTTCCAGACAGTATAGCTCGGTTGCTTCATCACGATAGGCAAGCCCGACCACCACGTCAAGGATGCAACAACGGTCGGGTTTGTTCGTCAGAAACGGAGTCAGATGATGGGACTCTAAGAAGGAAATAACGTAATTTCAGGTTAAAAACTTCCTTCATATATGTAACTTCACTTAATCCCATCAATTCTAATTAAAAACTCTCACAAGATAAAGTGATTGACTCAATAACCCAGTATAAACCCATATACACGGCTTTGAACCAAACTTTGCGTATTCAAACTGAAGTAGATATAGCAGGACTCGGATATGCGACTAAATTTTGAGTGCTAAAGTGTTTGCTAGTCATGTCTGTGTTTTAATGCCAACCAATGTTCAGGTATGAAACAGTTTACATTGAAACGTGGTACTCGTGATATTTAAAAGAATTGTTTTGTATGGTTTTCATCAACAGACGGTAAATTGACTGTATTTCCCCCTACAAACAGTTAAACAGCTTCTGACTTCGAAAATTTGAATACAACCAACAGCATATAAGCTGATGTAAATATAACCAAGAAAATATCCAGAAAAGAATGTAGATACCTAGTTACATAGGAAACTAAGCGAGGTCATGGGCCTTTGTACTTTCATCTTATTGTTTACTGAGATATTACAAAAAAAACATAATGTAGCTGTTTTCTACACCTTATATATCGCACGAAAGTTAAAGAACCAGTACTGAGGTAATGTTGAATAATGACTAAGTATCCTTTGTTCCAATTATTCATTTATTTTTTCTGTAGTTGGGACTTCAAACATGTATTCGCCAACGACGCAATCATCTTAAAATAAAAATTTCTTACGCTTCCAACAAGCTACTTGAACAATGTATAGAGTGACTTCGTAAATTTCATTGTTTACAAACGAATTTTTATGCATCTTGGATGTATCAGGCACTGTGACCATGTACATACAAATAATATTGTTCTTTTTTTTGTTTACCCTAAATTTTGTCTATAAATATCGCAGCGTATTACATTATATTTCATGTGCTTATACACCAGTTTAAAAATCATGAATATATCAGAATTGCTCTCAAGCACTTTATTGGTTCTTTCGCGTTCCCTGAACATCTGGAGCAATCATTATTTCCTGGATGAACTTTTTTTGATGCTTTTCTTATTATGTAAGGATTTAGCGCAAGTAGGACAAAACCACCGACCTTTTGGTGCAACGGTTAGGTTCACGCAAGCGTAGTGAAACCATTCGAAGGGGCAGTCTGGGGCGTCGCATGCTATCATGTCACCATAACTCACATCTCGGCATATACAGTAACGCTTGTAATCTTCATCATCATCTGGTGGGTCGGTAGTATCTTCTGGTTTCGGATTTCCACTAAATTCATACGTTTGATCGTCAAATCCATGCCCCAGCGTTGCATTGACACTAGAATTAGGTGAATCATCAAGCTTTCCGAACTCATCAACTGCAAGATCACATGCTAGCCCTATTCTATCAAATCTTCGCGGGTATCGGCGTTTCTCCCGAACACTAGAAAAACTTTGTGTTAAACCGGGCCATCCGGGTGAACTGATATTGTCTGTCACTTGATTCTCAATTAAACCTGCCTTTGGTGTTAAATTGAGCTTGTCACGATCTGTAAAGTTAGGTTCTGTTGTGTCGTAAAATAAATGACCACTGGAAGAGTTAGTACTTTTGATAATACGATCGTGCATTCCAGTATGAGTCTTAGCATCCAGCGACATATCTGGTAGCAAGCTCGAATTGTTTTTCAAAATTGTGGAAAATCCAGCACCTGCATTGTGAACGCTTGCAGTATCTTCTTCGAACTTTGTAACTCCTCCAGTTTGTGGATTAATCCTGTAAAACCCAAAACAAAAGATTACCATGCAAGCATTTTATGACATTAGATGGGTTTTCCGTAACATCGTATCTGATTAAAAAACTCAGAATGCTCACAAAAACACTTGGTTCCTTTCCCAGTGTAAATCCATCTAATATACTAAGCGCAGCGAAAATGTGTATTTTCGTTACAGTTACTAACAATTACTCGTGAATAGTTCTGAGTTATCGTTTATGGGTTCTAATCGCTGACCATAAACGTCTATACCACAAACCGACCTAAAGAAGATCACTTAATTGTGAATACTCCAAAGTCCTAATACATGCCATTTAGATCCAGTTGTGTCACTGGGTTTCTGAACGTGGTATTATGTACATGGTGTAGCGCGTGCTACCTATATTGACATAAGTAGTATGTAACGCGAGTCAGGAATGTAATGTCTGGCAGCAGAAGATTGGGAAGATCAAGAAAGGAAGAACGGGAATAGAAATGCAAGAACAATGAACTCCGAAACAATTATTGAACATTCTGCAAATTAGGTATTACAGTATCTAGAATACTAGCCCCGATAATTATCAGACGCCTAACTAAGACTCGTGAACTGCAAACACGAGAGAACCAAGCTGGCTTCAGACCTGGTCGTGGCTGCATCGACCACATATTCACCATTCGTCAGATTCTAGAACACAGGCATACTTATCATCGTCCGACAATGGTGGTCTTTCCCGACTCAAAAGCAGCATTTGACTCTGTAGACCGCGAGATTTTGTCGCAGTGTCCGTCATTGAAAGGCGTACCACAGAAGTACATAAACCTCGTGAGGGCTCTATACTCGAACATTACTAGTCGAGTCAGGGCTTATGGCGAACTGTCATCCACTTTTGCAACCTCAAGTGGTGTCCGTCAAGGCTGTCCACTTTCCCCATTTTTGTTTAACTTCATCATAGATCTACTGATGGAAATAACTTTCTCGTCGACTGAGTTCTCGGGTATTGATCTCCTACCAGGAGGTCCACTTATCGACTTAGAATACGCAGATGATATAGTCCTGTTTGGTGAAGATGCTGATAAAACGAAGTCTTTTGGTAGCACTAAGCAACAATGCCAGAATGTTTGGAATGCGCTTCTCTCCCTCTAAATGCAAGTTGTTGCTTTAGGACTGGTCTGCGTTAACGCCTGAACTAAGGATAGGGAGTGAAGTAGTCGAACGCGTTGACAACTTCACTTATCTTGGAAGTCTGATCAGCCCTAATGGGTTGGTGTCTGACGAAATTTCTGCACGAATTCGAAAAGCTCGTTTGGCTTTTGCCAACTTACGTCACCTTTGGCGGAGGCGAGATATCCGTCTATCAATAAAAGGACGAGTATAGTGCGCGGCAGTCCGCTCTGTTTTAATTTACGGCAGCGAAACATGGCCTTTAAGAGTAGAAGACACTCGTAAGCTACTAGTATTTGACCACAGATGCCTTGGAAATATTGCTGGCGTCTGCTGGGATCACCGGGTAAGTAATAGTGAGGTTAGACGCAGGGTATTAGGGAATGATGGTAAATCAGTTGATGAGGTTATGAATCTTCGTCGACTGAGATGGTTGGGCCACGTGTTACGTATGCCCGAACGCCGATTACCACGACGTGCAATGCTATCCGGTGTTGGAGATGGTTGAAAGAAAGTTAGGGGCGGCCAAACCAAAACGTGGCGTCAGTGCTTGATGTCACTAACTTCTAGTCTGAGTCATGTTGGTAGATGCAGACTACTTGGTTGGGGTCCGCGTGACTATCGTAACCAATGGTTGGAGACTCTTGGTGACATGGCTCAGAATCGATCACAATGGCGTCGGTGTATACACTCTCTGTCTTCTCTTAAACTAAGAGATTAAAATGACTTCATATCTTTCTTTCTACGAACTAATTCTTTCTTCTTGTACTATATTTCTATATGCAATCTTTCTCTTATATATTACCACCTTTGACCTAACCACTGCTATGAATCCGGTGTTCATCTTGTTGTGCCGATGCAGTATGGCAACCTGAACCGATGCACATATGTGTCTGGTCCTACGTTGTAGCTGACTGACAGTATCGTTTTTCTATTTTACCAAGTAACTCTGTATTATTGTGCTAAATATAATTCGATTGTCTTCAACTGTGTTCTCCTTCACTACAATAGTACCTTACCTTTTCAAATGATGTTAATACTCGCCGAATTATAGCATGACTTAAAGGAAAAACAAGTAAAGCCTGGAAACGTAGTATTTAGAAATAGAAACTTTGATCCTTAGGAAGTTTATTTAGTTTAAAGGGATAACAAACATGGGAGCTAGTATGCATAACTACCGGTAACTGTTGGAGTCCTAATTCAAGAGGCTAATTCTCATTAACCCATGTGAAAAGTCATTGTCAAAAGATATCCCGGTTATTTTCAATAAATTTATGGGAACTGTAGGTTCTTGATGATGGTCACAACTGTACACATTTTACTGTTTCATTAGGCGAAAGTTAATATCGTGCTGAAATCGTTGGTGATAGGTTATGGAATCGTATTCTGATCACTAATAACACTAACTGAAAGCAGTGAAAGGTGTATATGATCGTAATCAGACATCATAAAGCTAGGATTTCCATACTAAAAATGAACAACACATGACAAGGTGGTTTTCCCGCGCAATTCATGCATTTTAAATTATTCAAAGGAAATTTGAACTTACGTTTCAAAGGTTCTGTCGTAGGAACTGTCACTGGACTGATGGTCCAAACATATTGAGTCTACAAACAAAAATATTTTCAAGAAAGTGAAGTGGGATGTGACAAGGATTTTCCACTTAAATATTGGTTTTCGATATATCAACGTATGACAGAAAACTTTGAAAAATATATGTACTTTTAGCATTTTAGGATTCTTGTTTGATTCATGGTTATTAACAAATATTTGTTCTCTTTTGTGAAGATATTTGTAAAATGAGTCCCTACAAACATAATTTCATAAATATCCGCCTTATAACCAGTCAGCATAGGCTTATGGAGATTGAGTTTCATTCATATTATGAACTGATCAATCTTAAACTACCTAGAACCCATACATTGACAACCATCAAGTGCTTGCGCCCCCCACTCGACATTGATCGAATTTCAAAAAGCTAAAGTAATTTGAAACGAGGAAGAGCAGATGGATTAACTCCAGAGGTCTGACGTAACATCGCTCTTATGTATTTATCGACTCTGTTGGGTTTACAATTTTACTGCTCTTACCTGACAACCAGGAACCAGTGGAATTCTACTGCTTAGACTTTGAGACGGGAACCACTTGGATTCACATGGCACAAAGAACATCAAAAACTGGTGCAATGATGATTTACTGACTCCGAAAACACGTCCTTAAACAAGTTTCTAGATGGTGTTATCATGAGGCTAACATACATTCATTATATACTAAGTTTTATACAACTAATAATACCACGTACAGCTTAGCCGAATTATTTCGGCTGCAAACACAGGCAACAGTATAAATATAACCCGGTGCTCTGTGGTATTATTTGACGGATGAGAACTTTGATGAAAAGCGATAAATATACTATCCAAACCAAGAAAAATTACGCATAAATCTCACAAACATACGTGGCCAGTAAATATTGAGTTTTCATGTTGCTGGATATCCATTCTATCTAAAGTAACAGTGAGTATATAATTCAAATACATGCGCACAAGAAAAGACGCTGAACGCTGCTTTATACGACACAATATCAACTTGTTTTATTGCTGAGTGAAGTGCGGGTATATTGAAAAATGTAAACTTACTTTCGTCAATTGGTCTAAGAGGACTTAGGCCATCCGCATGAACAGGGTTCTTTCTGTAGGATCCTGTGTCTTGAACATGACATCCAGAAGTTGAGATTAAACTGGAGTTATTAAAAGACGTTTGGTCACCATTTAGTGAGAACTTAGTATTTTCCAGAGACGGCACTCCCCCCGATTGCATGGGTCTCATGCAAGCAGATTTAAGTGCTGCTCTGAAAGCCGGCCCAACCAATCGTCTTCTCACTGAGAAGTTATTTTTGCAATGACTAGATTGCTGAAATCGCAGTCTTTGTCTTCTACCTAAAAGCGTATGTTATTTAAGAAATAACCAACGTTCTGTCTTCGAATTTGTTGTTATTGCTTTTCCCAGTGCATTCTGAACTCCTTAAGTGCAATGTTCTTAATAAAATTACCTACTTTTTTCTATTTGTTCTGTTATTCCTGAATTATCAGCCTCTAATTCAATTCGGAACTTTTCCAACTCAATATCCAATTTTCTCACTAATTTACGGTACTTTGAGATAGGAGTTATAACGAATTATCATACTGTGTTATATATATTTTCCACTATTTCTCGTTTGTCCTTACAATGAACAAGTGCTCGCTCATATTCCTGTTGAGATTCGTGATAATATGCCACACGTTACCCGAGTAATATTAAGAATCTGAGTACTTTTCTCATATTCTAAGAGTCTACCAAACCTGCAGTTTTCGAAAAACGTCTGTATGGTTTCTGATAGCGAATCTAAAATATCTTGAAAATTGAATATTATGTCTTTTTTAAAGTTACTTTGAGCTTGTAGGTCTAGCTGTCTAACATTTGTAAGGCTTTCATTTAGCTCAGATGGCATATTTTCAATTGCTGTAGATGCCACTTAACAAATTTAGATTTACCTTCCATGAAATCCTCAAAGTACAACATTTTTGTTGTAGGTTTAAACCAAATAGGTAGTTTTAGAGGATCAGTTTGGTTGATTTACACATCAGTACAAAACAAGAGTATTAAAGCTTGTTCTAAAACAATGGAAAAGAAAAACAACTAAATAAAGCACAGTAAAATCATCAAACTACTGTTATTAAGTATTTAGTCATATAACTAATTGGTGGAATAATCACTGAACTGTTCATGAACACAGTGGTATCACTCAGTCACGCTGGTTTATGATACATAAGTAAAACACGACAAAGGATGAATTTGAAGCAGAACATCCAAATGAACCACGTTTTGGAGAACAAAGGATGTGATAGATCTTCGTTGTCTTTTGTTAATCCATGCTAGGTGCGGCTGAAAATGTTTTATTTGAGCGGGACAGCTACTATCATACTTCATTGTGTCCAGGGGTTTATGTTGGTCAGGCAGCAACATAATGCTTTTCATTAGTTGAATATAACTTAGGTCCAAATAGATTAACGAAGTGCACAATGGCAAAATGCAAAGTTTCAGTAAAGTATATGGATTGAACGTAAGTGACTTGTTGCTACCTACGGCCCCCAAGTGTACTGGTACAGCCGTGTAGGGGAGTCAGCTCTCCCTCTCGAAATGCTCTTGCATGGTCACGCGTATACAGCCATTATCACGGAAGTCATACTCACTGCCTTCTCGTGGCACTATTGTTGTTTACGAAATTAAGAGGACAAAAAGCGGATGTCTGGCGCTTTAACCGGGTTGATAGATATGGAAAGTCCATCTAGGGGAATTGGAAAACCCTAGTTCCGAACAAATGGTGCACATGGGCTCCAGTATCCTAAGGCAACAAATGACGTATGAACCTATTGTTGGTCACCGACCACCATGGGACTGCACTCCTAGCGTTGCTCCACTGTCTTGTGGATTAGACCTTTTGTCCAAAGGCTCGGGGTGTGACCACCTAAGAAAACCACCTTCGGTTTCGGTAATCGGGCAATAACACAGCTCTCACACAAGTCAATAATAACTACTACTGGCCTCATTTCTATTGTATGGCGCATATGTATTTGGTACCCCTTTGTACCAATGCTTAAGTGTTCAAATAAATAAATGTTACCTATGACCCTTAATCACTTATCACTAAATACAAGACCTTAGTTATACGAATTAATGGACAAAGTCAGTGGTCTTACAAACTGTGTTACACCATTATCCATATTCCTCTAACCTTTTGATAGGTATCATATGCTAGCAATCACAATGTGGATGCACGCAGAGTAACATATCAAAACACTTTAGTCGATGAAGCTTCAACATGCATCAACCTATCTACGAATCCAAACTACCACTCACCCTAACATTAATGTTACTAAATCAGTGGTTCTACCATACATAAACAATGAATAGTGTACATAGGATCAAATACTTGTAATCTGCATATGATCTCGACATTCAAATATGCGTTACAACTGTCATACAACACAGATGTACGTCACATATGCCCTCACACAGTCAAAAAGTAGGGAAAGTTGATGGCATGCATTCATATTCATCTCACTACCAAAACTGTTGAAATAGTTAACACGCCTAATTACATCACTCGCGATCATTAAACTAGCCATTAATGCGGACCAGTTTCAAGGTAACACTTCGAATTTAGGTGAAAAGCATCTTGTACTTTCAATCAAGACATCGTTAGCCAAGACCTGAAAACTACTGGACACTGCTGTGCGGTAGCCGCCAAAGGTTTTAGAACCCTATCGTCAACACGTATGATCTTTAGCCATGTCTATAATAAAATAGCATCTCAAGTAAGAAGGCGCGACGACCAAGAACATGCAGCGCGCAACCTTACAGATGGACTATCAGCTAACCATCGTATTCATGAAAAGAATATCATTCTACAATTATTATTTAGAAGAACGTAGTAGATATATATGCTAGGTGCACCTAGCATATCTATATATCTAACTATATAGTATATACCATATAGTTAGGCTTTACACATCTACAAAGGTTGAACAAACAGAATAGGATGACAAACATTTACCATAAGCTTTAACAAAATCCTTGATTCTTCCAAGTAAAAGGATAATGAAGCTAGTTTTTAACACTAGAGCAAAACTCTCAAATGATCCGCGTAGCGTTAGTAAATCAATTTCCAACGTAGACTAGAGAATTTGGAAATACTACAGTTCTGGTGTTTATGTAATAATCTAAGATTTCACAAATAACTAGCGTGGTGAAATTGTATCGACCTCATGGAGTTGGGGATAGTTTTTGTCAATTCGAGATACCTCATTAAAATTTTTGAGGGAATTTCCATAAAAACGCGACTAAGACCCTAAATGTTTCCATTGACCTAGGGTTCCTCTCAATTTTTTTACTGAATTTTATAGGTACGTATTCAAGAATTCTGATAATTTAAGGATATTCGAAGAATTCCTCGACGTTTCGGATTGTCCTATAGACTGTTGAAAGTTCCTCGGGATTCTCATCATACATAAACTCATTTACCTTTTATTCTCAGTTCATCTCATGTCACTTCTCAAACGTCACGCAGACGAAAATTTAATTACGAATTGTTTTGGGCATAAATATGATTGCTATCGCATACCATTATATATAAAATAGACTGAGGTTGCGTAATCGTTTCACTCTGAGCTAATAAGTCGATTCCTGGAAGAGAATCCCTAAAACCGTAACTATAAAAACTTAAATGTTGGTCTTCTGTGAAATAAGTGTAAAAGTACTATCAATACCGTTTCAGTGATATGAGTTAACAATGACATTCCTAATGTAATAACCACCATTAAACCTGGGTATCATACTTAGTTGGCGAAATGCATGCAGCAATACATGAACTGTACATGAGTTACGAAAGCTTACGTGACAACTTGAAGTGAATTGAAAGTTTACTGCCATGTTTGTAAGTACTTGTAAAACCATCTAGAATATAAAAATATACAACAAGTAGTAATTTCAAGTAAACCTGTAAAAAAAATGCTTAAGGACACCTACACATATATTCAATAACAGCTGTATCTTTCACAGGACATATCGCATTTCTGAAACGTGAATAAAAGACATCTAGCTGCGAATTCTTATATAACCCTGACTTAAGATGAATAGTTCCGTAGACTCTCTAGTTACATACACACCTTTTGTGTCTAGTCCAAATTTTTATTGTACACTTTAAGCGAAAAACTACCTGTAGCTCTTCTGTGGTTACTGTCGGTCAAAAAGAGGAGGGCACGGGGTCAGGTCAGTAAACCTATCCCACAGATAAAACATTGCTAAAATATCGCTAACCAAGATAAAAAATTAACACACTTAAACTTTGCCCACCCAGTGAAATGATCTTCTTTCAGTAGAATTCTGACACCTCATGAAGGAAGTTGAGATTCTGCGAAAGCCGCGGGGCCGATGCGTCTTCTAACAACCGAAGCAACAATATTATAAGTACATGGAATGTTCGGACAATTCGGGAGAGCGGGAGGACTAGTCAGTTAGCAATGGAAATAAAGAGATACAACTTGGTGGTTCTGAAAACCAGTGGAAACCATTAGACCAAAGCTAGACAGAGAAGATAAGGTTTAGGATAGATGCTGCTGTACTCTGTTCTGGAGGAAAAAATGATTCGCACACTCGTTGAACTGCTTTGATGCTGTTCAAAGAAACACGAAATGCAGTTATGGGATGAGAGTCTCATAGTCCCGGAGTGAATAATAATGAAAGTTATCCAATATTATGCGCCTTACAATGACAGCAGTATAGACGATAAAGATAATTTTTACAAAAAGGATGGAATCGATCATAGCGGAGTGCCCAGGAAAAAACTTGACAATCCTAATGGAAGACTGAAACGCCAAAGTCGGAATGGACAACATGGGGTGTGGAGATATCGTGGGATGACATGGATTTATTGGGTAGGAGGAACGAGGGTGATGACAGATTGGCGAATATATGTGCATTCAACAAATTGGTTGTAGGCGGTACAATATTCCCTCGCAACACGTACACAAAGCTACGCATGTTTCACCAGATCTCACTGAAGTAAATCAGATAAATCATATTCGCACCGGTAAAATAATTAGGTCAGTGGGAGACGTGAGAACCGTGAAGGGGTTGGCAAGGCTTCAGACCATCACCTGGTTGTTGCCAGAATAAAACCGAAGCCATAGAAACACTATACAACTGCGAAAACAGCATCACAAAGGTTCACTACAGCCTTCTTTCGAGATACTAATAAAATCAACGAATTCGATTTAGCTCTCAAAAATAGGTTCCAAACCTTATAGGATATACTGAAGGAAGAAGGAACTACTATGGATAACAACTGGAAACGGGTAAAAAAAAGCAGTGACCTCAACGTATCAGAAGTTTCTGGGTCACAAGAAGCATCATCATTATGAATGGAAAATATAGACAAGAATCAAGAAGAGACGAACAAAAAGACTGCGATTAACTACAGCCAGACAAGAGCAGAGAAAGTCAAGGCACAAGCTGAATACACAGAAGCAAACAAGCAAGTGAAGAACATTAAAGCTGACAAGCAGAACTATCTACATTGTTTCGACGTTCGTGACCTGGTCTGTGAAAGGGATCACGATAGTTTTGTTGACCCGTTCCTGTAACTATGATCAGTTTGCATTATGGTGACAGCCTCTATGATACTTTTAGCACTCTTACAGACTTCTGAGTTGCCTGAATACTTTGACAGTTCTTCTTGTGCATGATGTATCATGCGTGATCCATTTGGGAGACCTTTTCGTGCCTTAAAGTAACCCTCGTGCTATCGATAGAAGAAACCAGACAAGTAGTGAATAGGTCTTTATTTCGATCTTAGCGCGGTCACAGTGGAGCGTGGGATTATCTGTTCAGACAAACAAAGGCTCTCAACATTCAATATAAGATAATAGGGAATATAACGCTTATACAAAACAAGGGAGTGAATGGATACTTGATCAATACTGTTTTGGCATATGCTTGGTTGTTTGGCGTCAACTCTTAACCAACCAACCTAAGCTGTTACAACCTATCTCCATTATTCTATCTGCGATACGCGCTAAGCGAGGTGAAGTGATGTTCGGGTCATGTACATCCAGACAGTCTTGGACGTAGCACAGGAGAGCGGTTATCCATCATTTTTTGGGACTGCCTCACCCCGTGTATTGCCCACCAAAACTTGGAGGTGACGTAAAAACTGTAATGGTGACCTATCACCCAATGTTTCTCCTTGGAAAAGGCTTTGGTCTCTTTGGGCGTCTGATAAAGATCGGTAGTTAATTATCTCTCGTATTAAAATGACGTACGGTTGTCGTGTTAGTCGACCCAAAATTAAGTCGTTGACTTCTTCAATGACCAAAGAAGAGAGGAAAGAGCATGAAACTTGGGGGCGAACTCCCTCCGGTTTAATGTTGTTCCTCGTGAAATAGTGCTTCGGTTGAGCAAACCACTACTTAGGGTCACTACGATCAAATTCTGGAAGCCGGGCTTTCGTGGTCATAACTGTCTATGTCTACCAGTGACAAGTTACATTTATCGTCCAGGTTTTCCCTTTGGATTGAGTCTGACACATCGTATATGGCTAACATAATAATGTGGTGTGAACAAGGTAAAATAATGACCAGAACACGAATACTTTTCGGTAAAAAGGCAAAGTTTATGAATACATATGCGAAGTTTATGTCTAACATAATCAGGAAGTTTATTTTTAGTTCTAGGCAAAAAAACAATGATATAATAGCAATCAAAACCGACATGAAATTTGTGTTTAAAATAGGGCTCACCAATTTCGTGCCAGTGGGTGCCCCTAGCTCTACCAACAGAAGAAACCAGACTAGCAGTGGACTTGGAGAATTATGGCCTACTTCGATATTAATACTGCTTTGATAATAGGTTCAATCCTAAAATTGTAGATTCGTCATGGTGTAACTTCCTAATCTATAAGATCTTACGTGGAAGTCACATCATTGTCTACACCAACTCAATGCATCGTAACAATCACCAATATATGATGGGGAGCAAGTTTGGGCTAAAGATAGAACAATATATTTAATATGAATAAAAGATATAAGGTAACACTTAGCAGGGACCAAGCCTGCAAGGCCGAGCCCATACCATCCGATCAACTCGAATTCATTCAACTCATTGTCCCTACCTTCCTCACCGTTGGGTTTTTCTCCGCGTTAAATGATGAATATTTATTCCTCCAATTGTATCGTGTTCAGCTTTGAGGATTGTGTGGTTAGGGCCCGATACCACTACACATACTTGAGCAATAATACTCTGACGTTTACTTAGATGTTCGTGGTCGGCTCCTTCACAATCAATGCAAGTTTGTACATATTGATTTAATTTATTTAACATTCCTACTTGTGGAGCATACTGTAAGCAAACAAATGTTGTGTCTTATAGATCATGACTGAAAAAAGTCTGTACCTGCGCTGGTAGAAATATATTATTATTAATATTGGTCAAAATAAACGTCAAACTCGACATCTTACCTTGCATTTCTTGAATGTAAAGCTTGTAGCTTGTGTTACAGCCATTTGTATCAATTTTAGCTGTAGAAGGATAACCTGTATGTTGTTGGAAGTTTTCTTTTTGTTTTTATGCCTGAAAGCCACATTTTTTGGGTGGATCGGTACGGCAGATCGTGAAGTGGTTTAGTCCTGCGATCAGTTACTATTGTGACCCTGGGGTGAGGAGTACTTCATTACCATGCATGGTAATAATTATAGGCCTTGATGGATAAGTGGTGCATGCAGTAATTTGTTGATTATTATTAGTCTACTTATTCGAATGTTGATTACGCTTGTGCTCATCGTCAGTCCTGATACTTAGACAGGTTAGGTGTGGGTACATGATAACAGAGAGAGCAATCTGTTCACTGTTTCTGGAAGAGATATAGAAAATTTGTGTTGAGTTTCACATATTTGATGTCTGTCCATCATTCTTTCCTAGGTCTGGGGAGTTTCTTGCTGTCTTAGGAATTCTCTGTGATATAAGTTCCAGTTCAATCAGGTCATCTTGTGTAATACCTTTAGAAACAGCAGTTTTCGCTTGATAAGGTTCTGTTGTCTGCTTATCATCTAACGATCCATATACAAGTACATTACAACACAAACAACCTTGATTAAAATTGCAAATGTCGTTATGATTTTGGTATCAATTGAAAATCATTTCTTATTTGAAGTTTTCGACGTGCAGACACATTTAAATCCGCAGAGTGTTCTGTCGTATGTGGATTCATATCATGTTCGTAATAGATTTATTTTACACTCTTAATTGTATTTCAAGTTGTCTCTAGTGGTTTATGTGTATTAGCACGACCATATGATCCTGTCACTTCGCGTATTCTTGTACGTCGTCGATAAGGTCTTAGGTCTGAAGGGCCTACCAATTCGGCAAACTTTTATACAGGTAAGCTTCCTGTCCATTCACGTAAGGCTCATAAAGGCAAACAGGAAGTTCACGCGTTTCAAATTGAAAGCATAAACTGCTTATACATGTACGCCGCGAGTGTACCAAACAAAATGGATGAGCTACGTGATGTTCTTACACTCGATAAGCCGAGGCAAACTACCGGAAAATTGGAAGCTGGTTCACATCACACCAATTCTCAAAGAAGGTCGACGCAGCGAACCTTCAATCACCGACCTTTGGCTCTTCTCTCTATACCTTCAAAAATCACGGAGTCTCTGATTTACGATGGTATACATGACTATTTACTGTCCTTAAATTTCTTCTCACCTCAACGGCATGGTTTCAGGAAGGACTACATTTGTATAACCAACCTGCTGACTGCGGTGGACAGATGAACAAGCATCCTTGGTCGCAAGGGGAAGGTTGATATCATTTACCTTGATTTCTCAAAAGCTTTTGATAGGGTTAACCATATATGTTTTATCGATTAGGTGTCCAACCCCTATAATTGATTGGCTCATTTCATATCTGAAAAATCAACATTTTAATGTCAGGGTTAGCTTCACTTTATCTCAGGCTATGGAATGTCCAATGGGGTCCCGCAGAGCTCAGTACTAAGACCTCCTCTCTTCTTGATTTATATAAATGATCTTCCACAACAGGTGTCATCAGTCTTATTACTTTTTGCTGATGACATGAAACTTGGGAGAGAGATACACGACCTGGACGATACAAAGGCACTTCAGGAGGATCTGACTCGACTTAAAAGTTGGGCAGACGATAACGGACTTACCTTTAACACTTCAAAGTGTAAAGTAGTCCATCTGTGACATGTCGCAGACTACAGGTATAACTTAGGAAACTCCTTTCTAGTAGTATCCCAAGTCGAAAAAGATTTAGGAGTCCTGGTGCCCTACGATTTAAAGTCTTACGCTAACTGTGACAAAAATGCCTTCCGAGCAAACCTTGCACTGGTATCATTGAAGCGCCTTTTTGGCCGGTTTGACGGAAGAACTTTCCATATAATCTTCAATTGTTTTATCCGTCCCCATTTAGAATACGGAAACATAGTATTTCCCCCCTCACTCCAAAAGGATAAGGACACTCTGGAGCGTATCCAACGCCGAGCCACGAAATCAGATTGAGGACTCAAATTTGAACCTTACGAAGAGCGCCTCCAATCACTTAACCTTTACCCATTAGAGTATAGACGTCTTAGAGGTGACCTTCTGATGGCTTGCATTATCCTTATTACTTCTGGACATCTCCTTAAACACCTACTTAAGCCTAGTCCCAACAAAAAACTTGGAAGTAACACCCAGAAATTGAAGACAACGTAGCAGAACGGACTGTAGACACAACTTCTACTCCTTAAGAGTTGTCAAATGCTGGAATTCACTGTCGACTGAACTAGTCCAAGCGACTTCCTAGGAATCGTTTAGGAGGAAACTTGACCTATTCTTAAGGACTACGGATAACATCTTGAGTTACCAATTTATTTTTTCTAATCTTTTATAGATGATATACCTAGGTTGCTGCCTGGAGACATTGGTAATCCCCTGCCACTATACACGGAAGCCTGTTAAGCGAAAGCTTCTTCTATTCCATCCACAACCATTTGAAACATTTGAAGTGTTGGGCAACTTTTTGAAATGAGACTTCCACTTCGAGTTTGTGGGTCATGCATTACTGCCTTACGATCATTTAGTAATGGAGCCTCGAAACGAACGCCCCTTTATGATTTTCATATTTCACATAAAGCCAAAATGATTGATTTCTGCAATTTTCTTATGCCATTACACTACTCAGACCAAAGCATCATTGATAGTCATCAATTTGTGCGTCAACATTGCGGTCTTTTTGATGTTTCCCATATGTTGCAAGTAAGTTAACTTGCTTATATTATCTACAACAGATGCAAGTTTCTGGAAAGGACAGATTTAGCTTCTTAGAATCCCTCACTTGTGCTGATATCGAGGGATTACCTATTTCATCCGGAACTCTCTCTGTATTTTTGTTAAGTAGCGGCGGAATATTAGATGATACTATAATATTAAAATGCAAAGAACCTTATTTGTATATCGTTTCAAATGCAGCATGTTCATCAAAGATCAAAAATCATGTTACAGTAAGTGAATAATTAGATTGATTTGTTTGTTTTTTCAGAAAATGATGACTAAAGACGTAAATGACGGTAAAGAAATAAACATTAAAGTTCTAAACCATTCTCTCCTAGCACTGCAAGGTAAATTGTCTTGTGTAGTCAGTATCAATCCTGTGAAGCTTAATCTAAAGAGACTTACACGGTTCATTGGAGAAATATTTCCTCTTGAATTAAAATAGTTTTGAAGCAAGTTGCGTAGAGCGTTTTTAGCACGGATGTGCAATTTTTGAAAAGTAAGGGTAGCTTACATCAAATAATAGTAAAACTAACTCGTTCACTTGTTTTATGATAGCCACTTAGTAACTTTTGTAAATTTCCGTTCTACTAATCGGTATCTATGTGATGCACCTTAGGACCTGGATTTTACTAAGTAGAACAATATTGACTTGGTAAACAGGCATAAGTCCTCCATGCTTGTCGACTGGAGACCTGCATTACAGAACTCACACTTCTATTTTTTTTACATACTTCAACCAACTTGCCCGGATTTGTAATATAATGTTAATTTGGATATTTTTCTCAAACATTGACAATGTTCTTAACTTTTTCTTTAAAAAATGCCACGTTAATCTTAATCAGCGAAATAACTAGTTTCAAGTTTTCGGTCCCATATCTAAAAACAATAAAAACGATCAAAAAATATTTGGATTTATTGTATATTGTGCGGTTCTATTTAACACACATTAGTAACTGGTTTATAGGTTAAACCAAATAAGATGTAAATTTCCAAAAATTATGTACAACCTGCGACCCAACTAAACTGATTTTCGATGTTAATACACTTCGGAAAATGATAGCTTTACAGAAGCTATTTAATGTGCCAAGTGAGTTGTTATTTGCAGTAATTGTTGTTGATAGCTTAAATATTTAAAACTGAAATCTATTTTTTAGTTAAACGACTCGAACTTCCGTAGATTCCCAATGGTTGTTCTACTATGTGTATTATGAATGTTGGTTGGCTTTTTTTAATTAAATTTCTGAAAGTAGTCGAGTAATTCTAAATTTTACCTCGTATTTTTCCTTGACAAATATCCGTTTAATTTTCCATAGGACCAGATTCATATTCAGTTCTCCGTGCAGGTATCTCATCTACTAATATAAGGAACTTTGAAAATCTTTTTTTTATGGAAAGTATGCTCATTGATTCAATCTACGGTTTGAATACTCCTGATGGTGATATTCGTTTAACACGTTGCGGATACACAGGTGAAGATGGTTACGAAATCAGTGTCCCATCAGAAATAGCAATCCCGATTGCTGAGGTTCTGGTAAAGAACCCCTCTGTAAAACCTATTGGGTTAGCTGCTCGTGATACCTTGAGATTAGAAGCTGGTTTGTGCTTATATGGAAGCGACATATCGGAAGAAACAACTCCAGTTGAAGCTTCTCTTTCATGGCTTATTTGTAAGTTTAAAATCATTGCTATTCCAAATATATAATTCTGTATGTTAAAATGCATGTCATCAATATATATATATATATATATAATCCTAAATCTCGTCCAAACTATCTACTTTATTTTGAGCATCCGGGCAATATCTCAACCGACACGCAAACTAAATGATGACTGAGACTAAAAAGAACTATTCGTACTTTAATTCTCATTCTCGTAAATCATACTTAAGACTACGTTTTAATATTCGTCTTTACATTGAGTCACTTGTCTATTCCTTTATTTTCACTTTGTATATTCCTTGATTGTTAACTTCATACAGAAACTTGCTTATGGTGGAAATCCTGTCCTATCTAAACAATACCAAGTCACTGGCTGGTCGAAAGTTGAATGCTTCCACTAAATACGAATTCTGAACCAGCCTTTCTGAGACCACGTATGCCATTCAAACTGGCGTCCTTCAGCTTTTGCATACTAATACAAATCGGACAACATATAGGGTTAGTCATGTCTTTAAAAAGTCTCAACATCGATGAATGCTGTCTATCCAAGACGCGTTTTCAAGACTAGTGAAGTACTACAAATTCGCTCTTCATCTGTCCCTTCGAAGAGCTTGTTTCGCGTGCGTCCGTCCAGAGACACTGTGATATCTCTGTCTGGTTTCGCTAGTGTTGGTGTCTCATCAAGCGCTAAAGCTGAGGTGATACAAATAGCTTGGATCTCCATTAACAGTCAATTATGTACTGTTAGGTGAGAAAGTTCCATCAAAAAGTGAAGAAATCGGCGTGAGAACTGATGTCTTTGTCATCTCTGCTTGCGCTCCGACAAATTGCAGCCCGATTGTAATAAAGAACGGGTTCTATTACCGTTTAATTGTTCTTCTACAGAAAGTGCGTGCGACAGATCTTGTAGTACCAGTCGGAAACTTGGATGCCCATGTTGGGCGTCTAGGCACAATGGAGGGTCGGTAGAGTCGCCAATCAAGACTTGTTAGTCGCTTGTCGGATACTTATAACCGTCTACTGATACTTTTCCCAGATTATAGCCTATTTCTGGCTAGCACTAACTATTGTCACAACCATATCTGATGTACTACCTGGCGTCCTCACTCTAAATCTCGAGCCTGGGTTCAGATTGACCATACTGCGATTGACTACCGCTGGCGTGATTGTGTGCAAGATTGTCTCTCCTTTCGGAGTACTGATCTGAACTATAGGTATCATTACCGAAGTTTGATTTGATAATTTCGAATAAACTGAGCATTAGGTTGATTGTTATAAATAAAAATAATATATTTGTAATATCCCAATGAGTAGAAAATTAGATTTTCTATGCCGTTGTTTGTGATAATCTTATCTTACTTTTTACGGTGACCGAAAAATTTCGCTCTAAATGGATTGATGCCAGAAAATTGATTGCAGATTCTGTTCCAACTAAACATCAAACCGAGCTAGGTTCAAAGTTAACTGTCAACGACATGCAACGCTAACCGGTGTTGGAGATGGTTGGAAGAAAGTTAGGGGCGGCCAAACCAAAACGTGGCGTCAGTGCTTGATGTCACTAACTTCTAGTCTGAGTCATGTTGGTAGATGCAGACTACTTGGTTGGGGTCCGCGTGACTATCGTAACCAATGGTTGGAGACTAGGTGACATGGCTCAGAATCGATCACAATGGCGTCGGTGTATACACTCTCTGTCTTCTCTTAAACTAAGAGATTAAAATGACTTCATATCTTTCTTTCTACGAACTAATTCTTTCTTCTTGTACTATATCCTTATTGCAATCTTTATTTTATATATTACCACCTCTGAATTAACTACTTTTATGAATCCGGTGTCCATCTTGTTGTGTTAATGAGGTATGGCAACTTGGACCGATGCATAAATGTGCCTAGTCCTACGTTGTAGTTGACTGACTGACTGACTGTCAACTTACCGAAAAGTCAAGATGAGCATTGGTTGCAATTGGCTGAAGCCATGAAAATGACGCGTAAGGTCGCTTGCGACTTCACAAGACGTCTCTCTTGTAAGCACTGGGTTCCTAAAGGCTTCTTACAATCTGTTGAAGCATATCGATTTGCAGCGACCAACCTCAAGTTTGACCATAAACGAAGATCGTTACGTAATGAGATTGTGCCAAGTTTGTGAAGGGTCTTAGAAGCCTGGTGGTCGAGCATGCTAACGATTTGGAAGCGGCAGCTGCATCTGATGACTATCGGTAGCTCTTTCAACTCACCCGAGTTGCTGGCAGAAAGAAGTCTGATGTGAAAAAATCTGTGAAGCTGATGGAATGCCAGCCGGCGACCATACCATGTTGAGAGCACCGGTTCTCGTCCGATCATCACAGTTTAGCAACGTTGGGCCCGGTCATTACTTGCATGCCCCCAAACGCCCTGGTACGGCCGAGAGTGGGGAGAGTTCGCTCTCCCTCTCGAGACGCTCTCACATGGCCACGTGTATATAGCCTCTGCCATGGAAGTCCTACTCACCCTCCGCCAAATGTTAACACACCGCCATACATTTTGTAGGCCAGCAATCGTTGTGTTTCTTGACATCAGGGTTGCCTTCAATTTGTTGAACAGGACTGTTCTCTGGGATCGTCTATTGAAGAAGGGTGTGCCTGAGAAGTTTGTTAATATCTTAAAAGTCCTACATACAAACATCTTAGGTAGAGTAAGGGCGTACAACCATCTGTCTCCAATTGTTCCGTTCGAACAGTGGGGTTAGGCAGGGTTGCACACTATCACCATTCCCTTTCAACTTTGCCATCGATGGCGTTCTGGTAGTAGCTCTAACGGATGTAGGGCATGATGATGTGGATCTGTTACCTGAAGAAGTACTTTTCGACCTTGAGTATGCGGATGATATCGTCTTACTGTGAAATCATACTCAATCCATGCAATCCTCATTTAATTAGTCGGCAATTAATGTCCGTAGTTATGGAATGTGCTTTACACTTTCGAAGTGTACAGTACGTTTACAAGACCGAAAGGATTCTGAACCTGTGCTCACTCTTGATAGTGAGTGGGTAGAAGTGGTCAGGAAGTTCGTGCACCTGGGCAGATGCGTGAGTACTGGTGGCAGTGTCAGTGATGAGATCAATCCACGTATCTTGAAAACCGTAGCGACTTATGCCAATCTGAACCACCTTTGGCTCCTTCGTGATGTTAGTCTGGCTGTAAAAGTTCGGATCTACAACGCATCGGTGAGAGCAGTTTTACTCTATGCTTGTGAAACCTGGCCTCCGAGTTGAGGATGTTAGACGGTTCTCTGTGTCCGATCATCGTTGTCTTCAAAATATTGCCAACATTTAGTACCAACACTATAGTAGTGATTCGGATGTTCGATAATATGTGTTCAGACAGTGTCAACATTTCAGTCGATCACACCATATTGAAACACTGACTTCAGTGGCTTGGACGTGTACTATAAATGTTGTCTCAACGAGTTCCTCATCGTGGATTGTTTGCCAACTTTGGGACTGGTTTGAAAAAACTGGAGAGGTGGTCAGTTTATGACATCCTATCATGATATGAAAGGAAGCTGTTGGTCCTTCATGGCTTCCTGGTTGGGCTTTAAGCATTAATGCAACACAGTGGCTTGAGGCGTTATCAGACTTAAGTCAGAATAGAAGACAGTAGTGATCTTGGTATAACTTTCTTTTACTTTCTTCATATAATTGAGAGTAACTTATTTAACTGAAAGAATCCTTTCTGGTCGTATTTTTCTTAAGTGAACTGCTTCTCCCTTTGTTATTATTACTTTATTTTTATTATTATTTCATTCCCATACACTAATTTCTCTTTATTTTCTTGATCATACCCACCATCCTTTCTCCATATCTTCACAATCTATTTTTATTATGTGGCGCATATATAGTTTGGTGCACCCTTGACCAATATTTATGTGTTCATATAAATAAATAAAAACACTAATTACTTACTCATTTAGACGTTAGTCAGGATTTGATTACAAGATTCAAAGTTTTGAAAAGTAAATTGTCTTTTGTAAATAATTTGCATAACAACAGTTGGGGTTGTTAAAACATTGTAGTCCAGTTTTTAGTATGTACTCATCTAACTAAGAAACCACATTGCTAATAAAATGTACCAAATGAACTTAATAAAATATTAGTACTGGAATAATTTCAGTCTTCTAAGTCGACAACGAAAAATTCCATGATCCATGTAATACGAAAAGTCAAAAGTTAATTATAATTGTTGTTTCTTATTTACTTTCACCTTATGATGAATGCCCTATCCTTATTCTGATTAGTTCATTCAAAGTTGTCAGTACAGTATACTTTTACTAAATATAATCATATAAATGTAATCAAAATCGTGATTTTAACAAAATATATTTCAGCAAAACGAAGGCGTTTGTGTAAAGACCCAAAATTTCCTGGTTGCTCAATTATAACTGATCAATTGAAAAATAGAAGTGCATTAAAAAATAAACGAATCGGTTTGATTTGTGAATCAGGTCCACCAGCAAGAAGTAAGTTCAAAAAATAAAAGAAATTTCACTTGAATTTTATGATTCATGAAAATCATTAAGGTTTAATATTTTTCATAGACATTTTGAAGGTAATATGATTGTTCAGAAACATTGATTTAATTGTAGAAGTATTGAGTAATAAGTTGTAGAATGAAGTGGCAAACTTTCATTAAGAAATATTTTTATGAACTATTAATTCTCCATTTTTTCTGTAAGCAGATAAGTACGTATTAAATCGAATTGAAATATTCTGTATTTTAATGTCACTGACAATCCATGGAAGTTAATAGCTATATGTCTTCCTTTATTCACTAACCATCAGCACTAGTTCACTTCACTCTAAATAAACTCTTCAAAATATTTTACTTGAATCCATTGAAGTGACCATTTACTACACAGAAAATAATAAATTGCTTGAAATATTATCAATTCTATCCTATATCGTATTTTTTAATCTTAAAAAACTAGATCTTTAATTCATCAGGTTGTGCGAAGCTAGAATTTAAGTGTAATAATTAATTGATGTCTTATTATAGCCTGAACAATTGAGCTATCATGTTAATCCATACATAGCTCAATCATTTAATTATGTCGGAAGAAACAGATTTTTTGCTTGTTTGGATTGTTTCAGGTTCCTTGTGATCGGGCCGTAATGATAGATAATCAGTTGTTTTAATCCTCTCTCTCTCCCGATTATCGATTAATTCACATATATTGCCAGTAGGACCTGTTTACCAATTGATACATAAACCGGTGAACAATAACTAAAGTGCTAACTTTTGTCTGTTCTCGAGTCCCTAACTCAGTGGCCAGTCAGAAAACGAAACTAGAAAGTCAGTCCTCTATTAACTTACTACTCAAAGGTCATACAATAATATATTGAAATATCTGATTGCGCAACAACACAATTGGGTGATTACGTTGTGTAATATTTTTTATTTTATTGTATAAACCAAATCTCACTAATTTGCTCAAAACTATCTTGTTGACGACGTCAACCAATAAATAATTTAGATGAATGGTTCATTAACTAACAAAGTCAGCAATCAATCAAGATTACAGTTAAACTAAAACTAAGATCCTATGTGTTGATATTTGTTTTTCAACAAATTAATCTCGAGTTCGGACTCTTGTCCATCTACTACGATTTTGACATCTTGTTAAACTATCAGTGACACACAAAATTTGTTGCATCCGTTAAATAGTCTTGATAAATTTCCCTCATCATAATTTATTCTATTTCTCATGTAGATGGTGCAAAAATCTTTGATCAATCTTTGCAACTGGAAATAGGTGTCATTACAAGTGGTTGTTTTTCACCTACATTAAGTAAGAATATCGCAATGGCTTATGTAAAATCTGAATATTGTGAAAATGATCGACAACTTTTTGTACAAATTCGTCAAAAATTCTATCCATATACCGTTACAAAAATGCCATTCGTTGCAACTAAATATGTTAGACGATCTTAAAAATTATAGGGCCTATTAATATTTTGTAATTGTTTTGATATTCCTCGTTTGTTTATTTATTTTAAATAGTTGATGATTTTTAAAAGTCTTTTCTGTTCCTATTGAACTCTTAACTTATTTCCAACAATGCTGCTAGATGTGTATATTTTCTAATGATTTCTAAAGTTAGTGTTTCTTCGTTTAGTTTATATTGTTGAATGAAAAATATTAACTTGATAAATTTAATCTATCCAATGTTTTAAATTTTCGAAATAATTTAATCAAAACATATCATTTGAATTATTTTTGATTCCGAAGGAAATATATTCTAATTTGGGTAACGAACTGGCCTAAGTTGGAAAACCATTTAAAATGAAAAAGCACTGGGTGAATGTATCATTCTAATATGAGACCTCTGAGCAGCAACACCCACTCCACTGGGGATCAAACCCGGATTCCTTCGGGTAACACCTAACCTTTGAATCCCTGAACAAGGATATGTGTTGTATATGTCTAACGTCAATCAATTTGTAATATTGAACAACCATCTTCTGGTCGTTGGCGGGTAGCTGTCTCAACTGACATGGTCGAACTCCACAGGGACTTGAGGGTTCTGGGTTCGGTCCCCCTTAGGGTCGTGGGTTCTCAATGTTGAAGATCCCCATTATTTATCGAGACAGCTGTTTCCCAATGACTTTTTAGCTTGGGTCGGTTTGTGATCTTAAGAGTATTCAACAATTCCCACAAACCCATACTCTGAAACTATTCTTTTTATTCAGATATTATTCTACTTTGAACTGTAGGTGTTTTGGTTCATTTGCTTAGTTTGTTTTCAGTATCCATTTTTTTGTTTATGAGGTGCATATATTGTTTTTAAATTAGTAGGACGTACAGCAATTGGATTCAGGAGGAACGAAACACGATATTATATCGCTGAATAAAGAGATTGATTTAAATATACATTTCCTGATATTATCTTGAACTTTAATTGATAACATAAAGTAAAACAACTTTTGCATTAGTATTTGGCTGAGAAAACTATAAAACCAAAATACAACACTAATGCACAAGACATTGAGAGTCTAACACTAAGGATATATGTGTCACATTAGTGAGGATTTTAATTATGTCATATTATAAATATTTTTATGATATATAACGATTCATATTTGATTACGAACGCTTCTTGTTGCAAAAATAAACTTATTTTTCTAATATTCGTGTCTTGAGAACGCAATACGTTAGACACTTGCAAAAATGATTCAAGATGTTGACCTTTCATAAAATTATACTAAATACTAGGAACTTTTTTAAAATGAAGTTTAAGGACATTGTACCTCTTGAAGTCAGTTTTCATTTATGAGGCAATTCGTTGAAGAACTTAAAAACTGGTGAACTCTGGAAATTTACTTCATTTTCAGTCTGAAATCATCAGTACTGCTCATTCACCCTGCACACTTGTCATTGAGCACAGGGTCTTTATAACAGATCGTGTTTCACACCACTAACTTCAGTCAATTTGAGCTATCGCATGAACATCATCTAACTAGTTACTAGAGGGGAAACGATTGTTATTGAATCGTATGGAGTTGTTTGGAAACTTCGCATGGAAGTCAGTTTTGTCCATGAGTTGATGTATTACGGAAAGCTGATATCTGGAGCTTAATTTGAACCGTCTTGGTGGTCCTAAGTGCCAGCACTAAGTAATCATAATCTGGGATGAAGCAGCTGTTCAACGCTCACTAGTCCTCCATGTTTCTTCTTCAAATTATGTCAGTCTATGGTCAAATGTAATGAGAAACTTTGTAACGGTTCTTACTTACGCCTATTACTGCTAATGGAGCATAGGCCGCCAGTCAGCGTTCTCCAACCCACTCTGTCCATGGCCTTTTCTAGTTCCATCCAATTCTTGTTCATTTTTCTCATGTCTATCTCCATTTCCCGGCGTAATGTTTTCTTTGGTCTTCCTTTTTTCCTTTGGCCTTGAGGATTCCATGTGAGGGCTTGTCTTGTGACGCAGTTGTGTGCTTTCCTCAGTCAGTCAGCTACAACGTAGGACTAGGCACATTTATGCATCGGTCCAAGTTGCCATACCTCATTAACACAACAAGATGGACACCGGATTCATAAAAGTAGTTAATTCAGAGGTGGTAATATATAAAATAAAGATTGCAATAAGGATATAGTACAAGAAGAAAGAATTAGTTCGTAGAAAGAAAGATATGAAGTCATTTTAATCTCTTAGTTTAAGAGAAGACAGAGAGTGTATACACCGACGCCATTGTGATCGATTCTGAGCCATGTCACCAAGAGTCTCCAACCATTGGTTACGATAGTCACGCGGACCCCAACCAAGTAGTCTGCATCTACCAACATGACTCAGACTAGAAGTTAGTGACATCAAGCACTGACGCCACGTTTTGGTTTGGCCGCCCCTAACTTTCTTCCAACCATCTCCAACACCGGATAGCATTGCACGTCGTGGTAATCGGTGTTCAGGCATACGTATTATTATTATTATTTTAACACGTAGATATTGGTACAAGGAGGCACCAAATACATATACATATTCGATATGTGTGAGGGTTGTGATACTGCCCGGGTGCCCAAACCGAAGCAGGTGGTTTTCTTAGGGGGCCACTCCCTGAGCCTTCGACCTAAAGGTCTGATCCACAAGGCTGTGGAGCATCGTAAGTAGATGCAGTCCCATGGAAGCCGGTGACCAACAATTGATTCATATGCCATTTGTTCCCGCAGGATACTGGAGCCCATGTGCACCATTGGTTTGGAATCCGGTTAAAGCGCCAGACTTTCGCTTTTTTTCCTCTCATTTTCGTAAACAACACCCCTGCCACGAGAAGGCAGTTAGTAGGACTTCCCTGGCAGAGGCAGGGCATACGTAACACGTGGCCCAACCATCTCAGTCGATGAAAATTCACGTCATCAACTGATTTACCATCATTCTTCAATACCCTGTGTCTACCCTCACTATTACTTACCCGGTGATCCCAGCAATATTTCTAAGGCATCTGTGGTCAGATACTTCTAGCTTACGAGTATCTTCTACTCTTAATGGCCATGTTTCGCAGCCGTAAATTAAAAAAATGTGTGTCCTATCCACTTCCAGCACTTCTTCCTCCGCTGGGATCTGGTTTGTTCTTTCCCAAAGGTGGTTGTTGCTAATAGTGTCCGGCCAACAGATCCGAAGTATTTTGCGTAGACAACTATTAATAAACACCTATATCTTCTGGATGATGGCTTTCATAGTTCTCCAGTTTTTCGCCCCATACAGTAGAACTGTCTTGACATTTGCATTAAAAATTCTGACCTTGCTGTTAGTTGACAGTTGCTTTGAGTTCCAGATGCTCCTCAGTTGTAAATACACTGCTCTTGCTTTGCCGATCCGCGCATTCATATCTGCATCAGATCCACCCTGTTTATCAATGATGCTGCCCAGATATGAAATGGCTCTTACATCTTCCAAATCTTCTCCGTCAATTGTAATTGGAATTTGTATGCTGTGTTGTATCGGAGAATCCTGCTTTTCCCTTTGTGTATATTGAGACCTACTGCTGCTGAGGCTGTTCCCACAATGTTCGTCTTCTGCATCTGTTGTTGCGTTTGGGATAGAAGGGCCAGATCGTCTGCGAAGTCTAGGTCGTCCAACTGCATCCTAGATGTCCATTGTATCCCGTGCTTCCCTTCAGACGTTGACGTCTTCATGATCCAGTCGATCACCAGGAGTAAGAGAAAGGGTGAGAGTAAGCAACCTTGCCTGACACCGGTCTTTACCTCGAACGACTTTGTCAACTGTCCTTCATGCACAATTTTGCAGTTCAATCCATCATAGGAATTCCGTATGATATTGACTATCGTTTGATGCACACTGTATTGTCGAAGAATCTTCCATAGTGTTGTTCTGTCCACGCTGTCAAATGCTTTTTTGTAGTCAATGAAGTTGATGTAGAGTGATGAATTCCATTCAATTGATTGTTCCACAATGATCCGTAGAGTTGCGATTTGGTCTGTACACGATCTATCCTTACGGAATCCTGCCTGTTGGTCTCGAGGTTGGGCGTCTACGCAGTCCTCCATCCTGTTTAACAATACCCTGTTGAAGACTTTTCCGGTATTGAGAGAAGAGTGATGCCTCTGTAGTTATCACACTTGCTGAGATCGCCTTTCTTCGGTATTTTGATTAGAAGTCCTTCTTTCCAGTCTGTTGGTACTTGTTCCTCATCCCAAATCTTATTGAAGAGAATGTGGAGTATGCTTGCAGTTGCCGCTACGTCTACTTTTAGTGCCTCTGCTGGGATGTTGTCCGGTCCTGCTGCTTTGCCACTCTTGATTTGTCTGATGGCCATGGTGATTTCTTCAATTGTTGGTGGGCCAACATTTATTGGGAGGTCCGTGGTTGCTGCTTCGATGTTGGGTGGGTTCAGTGGCGCTGGTCGATTCAAGAGTTCTTTGAAGTGTTCTATCCACCTGTTTTGTTGCTCTTCAATGTGGGTGATTACCTTGCCTTCCTTACTTTTCACTGGTCGTTCTGGTTTGCGGCGATTTCCAGAGAGTTTCTTTGTCGTGTCATACAATTGTCTCATGTTTCCTTCTCTTGAAGCCTTTTCCGCCGTCGGTGCTAAATCTTCCACATATTTACGTTTGTCGGTTCTGATGCTCCTCTTCACTTGTTTGTTTATTTCCGTGTATTCAGCTTGTGCCTTAGCTTTTTCTGCTCTTGTTCGGCTGGTATTGATTGCTGCCTTCTTGTTCCTCCTTTCTTGAATCTTATCCAGTGTATCAACAGTGATCCATTCCTCGTGATGGTGCTTCTTGTGGCCCAGAACCTCATGGCATGTTGAAGTGATTGCTTCTTTGATTCCCTTCCAGTTGCTCTCCATAGTAGTTCCTTCTCCATTGAGTAGATCATGAAAGGCCTGGAACTTGTTGCTGAGGACTATCTTGAATTTGTTGAGTTTGTTAGTATCCTGGAGAAATGCCGTATTGAACTTTTGTGATATTGTCCACACCGTTGTCCACTGCTTCTTGAGTTTCAATTTTATCTTGGCGACCAGCAAGTGATGGTCTGATGCTATATCAGCTCCTCTCTTGGTTCTCACATCCTCCATCGCCCTCCTGAACTTTTTGTTGATGCAGATATGGTCGATTTGGTTTTGCGTAGTGTGATCCGGTGAATTCCATGTGGCTTTGTGAATGCGCTTATGTGGGAATATGGTGCCGCCTATAACCAGTTTATTGAAGGCACATAGGTTTGCAAATCTCTCACCATTTTCGTT